CTCTGCGTCCTGCCGGCCGGGCGCTCGCTGCGCGGCTGCATGGGCTCGGCCGCCGGACCCGCCGCCGGTCCGCGGACGACGCACAGACGACCGGACGCACGGACAGTTGGAAGGCTGCTCGGCGGTGGCGGCCCGCTCCGCGTCCCGCGCTTCCGCCGCCTGTCCGCAGCCGCTGTTTCTAGGCGCCGCCCGCCCCGCCTCCCGCACTCCCCCGCAGCGTCAGGGACGCAACGTAGGACACGAATCCTCCCGAAGTCCCTGCGCCCCGTCCTTCTCCTCCTCCAGGAAGCCCCCAGGTCCCGCCTGCGGACTATCTCTAAGAAGTCTCCAGAACCTTCCGACCCCCGCCAACTCATTCAAGAAGGCCCCCTTTGACACCCCAAAGCCCCCTGGGCCTCGCAGCTCAAGGAGGCCGAGCGGCCCCACGTGCTGCCCCTGGGACCTGAGCCAGCCCGAGGGCCGCGTCCTGCCCGCCTCACTGTGACCCCCAGGCAGGCCACTTTGCCCCTCTGACCTTTGCTGGGTTTGCTCCACTAACTCTACAGGTATAACACCTACACGTACCAGGCCTTGAGCCGGGCGCTGGCTGCGATGGGGTGCGGGGGGCGCCTGGCTGGGGGGGACCTGCCCAGAGCCTCACTGGCGTCCTGGGGACTGTGGGATCTCCTGTCGTGGGGTCAGGCCCGTGGACCCCTGCTCTTAGGCAAGTGGGGCAAGGGAAGGAGGGTATAGGCTGGTTTCCCCACCTCCTTCCTTCCCCGAGGCAACCTTCCAGCCTCTGAGCCTTTGCACTTGCTGGCTGATCCCACAACAGGGCAGAGGAAAAGTGTTGTGGACCTAGGCAGATGTGTTCACAGGCGAATTTGCAGGAGAGGACTCGCTGGACTGAGTACCAGGCACAGCACTTTCAGGTAGATTTGGCCAAACTGGCTTCAGTAACAGCATCCGGTTCTGTGAGCTGTCTGCCCCTCCTCCCCCCATGCCCAGGACAGGTGCTATGGGACTGTCCGGTGACGTGCAAACGGCTCTTGTCGTTCTGGCCCTCCTTTGATTGGGCGAGGCCGGCCCCGCCACCAGGGCGTCATTCATCTTTGGGAACTGCCCGTGTGGCATCGCTGCTTCTGTCTCCCTTGGTGTCTCCTCCTAGAGTCTTGGCTCTTTATTGTTGATCTGTAAGAGCTCTTTATATAAATAAAGTCCTGTCTGCCTCATGTTTTCCCCCGGAAGCATTTTGTTCGTTGTTGGTGCGTTGCTATCCTCACAGGCAGGTGTTTACGGAGCCCGGGAGGCCCATCTTCCCCCAGGTCGGTACTGTTATTACTGCCTCTTACGGAGAAGGACACGGATTTGTGAGCGGCACATCGGATTCCACCCCATGCAGTCCTGCCCATGCTCCAGCTCTGTAGCCCGGCGCGCCCCGGAGGCGTGCGGGGGCTGGGACTGAACCGGGCCTGCGCACGGAGCGTGTGAACGCGCCCTCCCGCCTGGATGCCGCCGGGGCCGCGGTGAGAGAACCATGGAGCCACCCGGCGGGGCGGGGCCGGGGGCGGGGCCTGCCCGGAGGATGCGCGGCTGCCGCACGGCATTCTGGGGCCGGAAGTGGGGCGCACGCTGCGGGACGGCGGTTATGGCGGCAGCGCGGGGCCGCAAGCGGTGAGTGAGGGCCTGGGCGGCTGGGCCGCCGGCGGGTGCTGGTGTCCGAAGGGCTCCCCGCGCCTCCCCTCCCGAGGTCGCGGGCGGCGCGGCGGGGCGCCCGGGCGGCGGGGCCGTGACCGCGTCGTGCCCGCAGGCGCCTGGCGGAGCTGACGGTGGACGAGTTCCTGGCCTCGGGCTTTGACTCCGAGTCCGAGTCCGAAGGCGCCCCGGACGCGGAGCCGCGGGCGGCGCGCGGAGCCGGGCGGAGCCGGGACGGGCCAGGCGGGAGCCTCGCGGCCAGGTGAGCGAGCGTCTCTCGCGGGACGTGTGACCCTCGGTGTCGTGCGCGCCCCCCGAGAGTGCTGACCGCCCTGGGCCTCGGGACCTCCGACTCTTCCCCAGACCCTTCCCGTGTCCGTTTTTCGTCCGAAGTTTACTGCGCGTCTGCTTTGTGCCGAGTCTTCTTTTTGGCGGGGGTATACGTTGGCGAGTGATACGAATGCTCTTTTTTGGGCTGGGAGAGCTCACTCGGTCTCAGGGGAACCGCAGTGTGTGTAGGTTAGAAGAGAGAGGCGCGGCACGCAGAAAGGAAAACCAGAAGGGGCTTGAGGACCAGGGGGTACAGCTGAGGGCGTCTGTTGCTGTGTTATTGGAGTGGAAAAGATCGTCTGAGGAGGTGATAATTGAGCAGAGACTTGAGAGTGTCAGCCACGCAGACGGGAGGGGAAGCGTGTTCTGGTGTTTGAGATAGTGGGAGCTGGCCTTGTGCGGAGATGAATATGGCTGCGGCAGGAGGTGAACCCGGAGAGGGGATGACGGCCAGGCCTTGTATGCCATCTGTGAGACAACCCGGTGAAATGGGAAGTTATCTTGGTGTTGAGCAAGGAAGTAACGTCACGTGGCACATGAGATGAAGGGTCGCTTGTGGGCGGCAGGGAGGGAGACAGGGAGAGACCGCTGTGGTGACAGAAAAGCGAGATGGGGTGGTGGTTTGAGAGGAGGCATGAGAGGTTTTGAAGGTGTTGCTGATGCTATGTTCTGGCAGATTGCATGCTGGGTATGAGAAAGAAGTTTATTTTCTATTTCAACGTCTGGAAAGGTAGAGTTACTAACGAGAGCAGAGTGCAGGCAGAGCCGGTTTGGGGAACCTCAAGTGCAGTGATGTATGGATTGGATTTGGAATGCATATACTGAAACGCAGAGTGAGGCCGTTGGGGCTGTGATTCAGGGGGAGAGAGGGATCTGCTGAAAACTTACCTCCTGGAAATCCTGCTGCCTGGGTTATTGGTAGCAGTTATAGAGGAAGCAGGGTAAACCCTATAGCTTTTTTGAGGAGGCTGGCATGCTGACAGTGTGGGGGAGAGGAAGCCTGACAGCCGTTCACCCCCTGCTGGCTGTGCCCGCCCATTGGGCTTGATGACCCCTACCTTCTCAGCCGGCGTAAAGGCCGTGCGTCTGAGCACAAGGACCAGCTCTCTCGGCTGAAGGAGAAAGACCCCGAGTTCTACAAGTTCCTACAGGAGAACGACCAGAGCCTGCTGAACTTCAGCGATTCGGACAGCTCTGAGGATGAAGAGGAGCAGCTCCACTTCCTGCCAGATGTGCTGGAAGTAAGGCCTGGGCGGAGCTGGGGGGTGGGGGGCATGCTTGTGGCCTCTCTTTTCTGCTCCAGCCTGGTCCTCTGTATCTGGTTCAGGAAGCAAGTGAGAAGGAAGACGAGGAGGGCGAGGATGGGGTCTCCAGAGGACCAAAGGGGAAGAAGAGAGATTCTGCCCCCGTGACTCTCGCCATGGTTGAGAGATGGAAACAGGCGGCAAAGGTGAGAAGTGGCGTGGAGTGGGCAGTTTGACATGGCCCTGCTCTGGGAGTCTGCCCTTGCCTCATTCCAGTTGTCTGTGGCTGTGCAGGTGGGAGGAGGCAGGTGGCAGGAGCCCCTCTCTAAGCACTGGCAGCGAGTCCCCTTCAGTACAGACAGGTCTTGTACAGGTCTTCCTGCATGCCAGGAGGCTCCAGGGCTGTAAGGCTCCTTCAGGAAGAGGTTCTAGGGGCTTTGTCTGCTCCCTTCCTCTCTGTCTCTCTCTCGGGCTTCCTGCTCCCCAGAGTCCCTTGTGGGCAGGATGTAGCCTACGTGCTTTTGCCAGTTAGTGGAGTCAGGGCCCTTCTGAGGGTCTTGCAGTGGTTTCTGCAGGGAAAGGACAGAAAGGGAGAGCTCCAGATACCACCTGGAGGTGACCATTGTCAAGATCTGGGACTCTCAGCCCCTCCCACATCGTCCCCGAGCCAGGCTCCCTGCCCTTCCAGGAGGGCTCTGTCTTTTTTTCCCCAGCACGTGGCACAGTAACTGTCCCCATCTCTGCCCCATGTCTGAGAGTGTGGGCAAGGGGTGCCTTTTTTATCACAGAGCAGTTTCCTGGAGCCCCGACTGCCTCTTGCTCTATCCATCACAGCCGACTGCTCCCCTAACATTCTGGGTTCTCTTGCTCCTTTAGCAGCACCTTACTCCAAAGTTGTTGCACGAAGTTGTGCAGGCGTTCCGAGCAGCCGTGGCCACCACCCAAGGAGACCAGGAAGGTGCTAAGGGCAGCAAATTCCAGGTCACAGACAGTGCTGGTGAGCTGGGGTGAGGGGCCCCAGGATACAGGCTCTCTGTTCCATTCTCTGTCCCGTGAGTGCCATCTGTGGTTTCTTCCCTGCAGTGTTCAACGCTCTGGTCACCTTCTGCATCAGAGACCTCTTGGGCTGCCTCCAGAAGCTGCTATTGGGAAAAGGCCCACAGGACAGCAGCAGGTGAGAGGGAAGAAAGTGAGGTGGGACATGGTCAGGGCCCTTCACTGGGGAAGGCAGAGGCCTTGTGACCTAGCGGCCCTTCTGGACCCAGCCAGCACAGAGGGATGTTGGGGACAGAGCCCGGCTCTTTGTGGGGCTCCTGGGAGAGGCTGGGCTCTCAGGGCTGGTTTTTTTCTGAAAAGGGGAATTCTTTGCCCGGAATTTCTTAGGGTCCCTAGAATGTGTGCTTGGTTTTGCTTCTCTATTCTCTCAGGTCAGGATTCTCTCTCTTTTCTGTCTTTTGGGATGAATAAATGTCGTCTGTTTTCTTTGCCCTTTGTTGTGTGGCTGGTGTGTGTGTCTCTACGTGGGGGTCTTGTCGGTGGTGGGTTTGAGAACCTTGACTTCCGTGTTAGAGGTAGATTCAGCAGAGACGGCTGTGCAAGGTCTTCAGAGGAGAAAGTAGAGAGCAAATGTTTGGTAGAAGGTTGGTTGTACTGGGGCTGCAGGACCATGCAACCACGTGGCCTGGAGGCAGTAAGGGCTTGGAGGATCAGACTCACCCCAGACACCTTTCAAAGGAACGAGGAAGGCTTCGGGGAGGGGTCTTGCTGAAGGGAGGTGGGGGAGGTGGTGGACCTGGAGGTGGGAGTACTTGGGCCTAGTGGGAGCATCAGGGCTGCACTGATGGGTCAGATGGTCTGGCCCTGTCTGAAAGGGGCAGGGAAGCTGACAGACGGGGGAGGGCAGGTGGGACAGGTGGTGAGTGAGCAGGCAGCAAACGCACGCACGTGGCGTGAGGGGGGCTGGCACTGGCCGGGTGCATGCTCTCGTGTAAAGGGGCTGCTGCGAGGGGGAGAGCAGTCACCGGGACGGGCGGGAGCCTTGGGAGAAGGTGAGCAGCGCTGCCCTGTGGGGTGAGCTGGCTGCAGGTGCCTTACAGCTGCGGTCAGTCGACGGGGAGACTTCCAGGGGACCCTGCCTCTTGTCTCTTCATGCGTGTCAGCAGAGTTTGATGCGCACCTGCTGTGTGCTGAGTTTTGTGAATGCTGGGGGGTGATGCCTTAGAGAAACTTCCAGGTACATCAGCTGCTGTCGCTGGATCCTCCACTTTTTCAAAAGAGGTCAGAGTCTGGATTATGTGGAGAAACTAAGCTGTAAATGAGAACGATTTGGCTTTTCTAAAGCACATATGGGCCAGAGAAAACTCTCTTGTGATGGTGGTTAGCAATTCCTGGGTTAGACTTCAGAGATCTGGAGTACCTGATGTGGTGGAAACAGGAAGAGGTTTATTTCTGAGAGAGGGAGCCGGAGGCTGGGAGTTCCTCTGGGGATACTGGGGCAAGTGGCCAGCCCTGGGCTCAGACAGGGAGGACAGTTGCTCTCGGCCCTCTGGCCTGGATGGATGGCCTGTGGGAGGGGCCTGGTGCTGCTCCTCCTCAGGTGTCGGTCTGGGCCACCCTTGAGAGGGTCCTGGTGCAACCCCCGTAGGTCCAACTATAAGGAGTTCTTGAGCTTTTCGTGGGGAGAAATGGGGGCTCTTCCCACAGGGCCATTGTGTACACAGACAGGACGTGGCTCAGGGCACCCTCCTGCCTCCTGGCAGGCTCGTGGCCCTGCTGCAGGGGCTCACTGGGTGGGTGGGTGTGATCTCTCCACAGGGTGCTACAGCCGTCCAGCAGCCCGCTGTGGGGGAAGCTCCGGCTGGACGTCAAAGCTTACCTGAGCTCAGTTGTTCAGGTGCGGTTCTGGGGGGAGGGCCTCACCAGTGGTCCAGTCCTTCCTTGTGTTCCGGATGTGAGTGGGTTTCGGCCTCACTGAGCTCTCTTGCTTCCCCAGCTGGTGACCTGCGTGGCAGAGGCGACAGTGGCGGCAGCTGTCCTCCAGCACGTCATCAGCGCGGTCCCATACTACCTGATCTTCCCCAAGCAGTGCCGCATGCTGCTCAAGGTGGGTGCTCTCCCTGTGTCAGCACGATGGGAGTACACACGGCTACCCCGAAATACGTCCCAGTCCTAGCCAGAGTGGCGGGGGAGGAGGCGGCGTCTGTGCCCACCCCACCCCCAGGAGGTGGGTGCTGTCTGGGCAGCTCCCCGCCCTCAGGGCAGCACAGCCATGTGAGAACAGGCTCCTCGGGCAGCTACTTTCTGATCTTTTTGACAAGAACCACAGTGAGACGGTGAGACGACGAGAGAGACGAGAAACACAGGCTTGTCACGTGGCGTGCATTTATGTACACACCCCGCACACACCCATAACACAAAGTCCTGCCGTGTAGGGGTGAGCTGCTCTATTCTGCGCTCTTGTTTTTCCCTGAGTTCTAACTCGTGGCCCCCGGCCGCCCCCGCCGCCCGAGGTGCTTTGGGAAGGGCTCCTGCCAGCAGTGACCGTGGGAGCCTCTGGCTGGGCTTGGGGAGGCGGGGACGGGCAGTGATGGCTCGCCCTCTGCAGAGGATGGTGGTCCTGTGGAGCACAGGTGAGGAGACGGTGCGAGTGCTCGCCTTCCTGGTCCTCGTCAGAGTCTGCCGGCACAAGAAGGACGCTTTCCTTAGCCCTGTTCTCAAGGTAGTGTGTGCTGGGGCCTCTGCCTGTAGTCCTCCGGGTCTGAGTCCGTCATAGTCTGGGTCGAAAGCCTCAGCTTGAAGGCGGGGCAGGCTGCTTGTATGGTCTGTGCCCCTTGCCAGCGCTGCGGCCCTGAGCCGACCCAGACACTTGTCATGGTTTCCTCTGTGAGAAGAGAGGGATGGGAGCCCTTGGTCGCCCTGGGGCTCCATGGGCACTGTTCCGCACAGCTCTCCCCTCAGTGGGCAAGGACGCTGGATGTGGAGAGGGATGTGGACCCTGCTGCCCAGCCCCAAGCCTGGGGTGGGCTGCCTTGCACAAGGACCCTCTGGAACTCCCTTCATGGGTCTGGCATGCAGCAGGGGCTTCTCTCTCTCCCTCCCTTCCAGTCCTTCCATGGTCTCATTGACCGTTCCCGAAATTATTCATGCTGCAGCTCATCTCTCCCCTGGTACCCAGATCTCCCTATAAGGTCCCTCTCCTGTGCAGTGCAGACTCTGTCCCCGAGGTTGGTGGGCGCAAATGTGGGAGCTGAGCAGCAGCGGGGGCCCAGGGTACAGGTGCCGTGCAGGGGGAGGGGCCTGCAGCAGATGTGCCTAGGCTGTGGCTCTTGCTGATGCAGCAGCTCTGAGGGGAAGGCCCGGGGGTCTGGCGGTGGTCCTCAGAGCCCTGGGAGCTCCAAGGTGGTTCTTACTGGGGTCTTCTGGCAGCAAATGTACATCACGTACGTGAGGAACTGCAGGTTCACCTCTCCCAGCGCCCTGCCCCTCATCAACTTCATGCAGCGGACCCTGACAGAGTTGCTTGCCCTGGACACCAGCGTCGCCTACCAGCATGCCTTCCTCTACATCCGCCAGCTCGCCATCCATCTGCGCAACGCTATGACCACGCATAAGAAGGTGTGCGGTTGGGCTTGGGCGGATGAGCAGCCCAGGAGCCCGACCCAATCGAGGGCCTGGGGCCTCTCGGAAGCCTGTCTCTTGGGAGAGGCAACCCAGCACCTTGGTGGGGTCAGGGTTCTTGCTGGCGGGGGCTGTGGGAGTAGGTGGAGGAGGGGGCAGGTCGCAGGGCCTTGAGGGACTGGCGGGTGGGCGGGCACAGTGCGGCTGCCAGCAGGGATCCTGCGCACGTGGTGGGTGAGGAGGGCTGGGACCTCCCGGGACTCCTGGGCTGACTCGGAGGTGGCTTTTACTGTGCCCAGGAGACACACCAGTCTGTGTACAACTGGCAGTTCGTGCACTGCCTCTACCTGTGGTGCCGTGCCCTCAGCACCATCTGCCCCAGCGAGGCCCTCCAGCCGCTGATCTATCCCCTCTCCCAGGTCATTGTCGGCTGCATCAAGTGAGTCGGGGCAGGTGGACCGGCCCTGGGCTGGAGGAGGTCAGGGCCAGGGTCACACGGAGCTGTCCTGGCAGCCAGGGTCACACGGGGCCTCCTGGGGGGTCAGAGGAGGGCCAGGGTTACACAGGAAGCTTCCTGGAGGGCCGGGAGGGTCTGGGCAGTGCCTCTGGTGGCCGGGACCTCCAGGGTTTGAGGTCTGTGACTTGGCAGCACCTGAGATGGGGAGGGCCGGGAGTGGGGCTGTCTGTGGCCTGTGCCCAGCAGGGCCAGCGCCCTGCACTCATGGGTGGCGGGCTTCTTGGTTCCTGTGGTGTCAACTCCCCCCCAGCACCTCAGCCCAGGATGTGGCACACATGTGCGTTCTGGGGGATGCTCGGTAGAGGGGCTGTGTACAAGGCGAGGGAGTTGGGGTTCTTGGACAGAGCAGGTTTGGTGTGGAGTGCCACATTTTGGGTGAGTAGTCAGCATTGATCCCTGGGGGCAGAGAGTGGAGGAGCCACATGTGGTCAGATGGCTGCCTCTGTTGGCCAGGAGGGGGCACCCCTGTTCTCCTGAAGGGGGAATCCTGAAAACAGGGAGCAGGGAAGAAAGAAGTGCTCCACTGAACGACACCTCCCCCCCCCATTAAAATGAAATGAAGTCGGAAGTCAGGAGGGGTGTCGCCTCCCCCCGTAACTGATGAGGAGGCGGGTCCTCAAAGCTGGGACTGCAGTCGGGGCCTTTTGTCCTGCCCTTTTCTGTCGGCGGACTCCTATGGGGGGTGTATGTCTCCTGACAGAAGTGACAGGGAAGGGCCCCGCTGAGGTTGGAGGCCAGTGGGTGAAAAGGGGTCAGGGCCAGAAGGGGTCTCTGAGGCTGGGGCCTCTGCTCACTCCCGCCTTCCCGTGCCCCCAGGCTTGTCCCCACTGCCCGCTTCTACCCACTACGCATGCACTGTGTGCGTGCCCTGACGCTGCTCTCGGAGAGCACCGGCATCTTCATCCCAGTGCTGCCCTTCATCCTCGAGGTGAGCGGGGTGCGTGCCGGGGTGGGTTGCCTGGAAGCTCTTCCTGCTGCTCGTGGACCCTTGCCCCTCGACACAGTGTGACTCGTGAGTGCTGGTTCCTCACCTGGAGGACCTTGCTCCCTGCCCAAGCTGGTGGCACGTGTTGGTAGGTGAGAGAGGCAACATGGACGAGGACAGTGGCTCTGCGGGGCCTCGGGGTGCTGGTTTTAGGGCACAGACTCGAGAGATCTGGGCGTTTGCTGAAGATTAGAGTGAGCAGGAGAGCTGGGCCGGGAGCCCAGATGTGATTCAAAAGAAATTGTGTTTTCTTCTCTGCACCCGTGTGTGTGTGCATGTGCACGTGTGTGCATTTGTGTGTCTGCACGTGCACATAGCTCAGGTAGGGAAAGGCTGCCTTCCGAAGCCCAGAAATCCACTGGAGTTTCACATCCCCCATTAGAGGGGCCTCAGCACCACCCCCCTGGACAGCCCAGAGTAGTGTCCTGGCTGGCCAGGGCTGAGGTCTGCCCCTTTACCAACTGGGGGAGGGAAGGGACCCCGTTACCAAATCGGGGAGGGAGGGGAGCCCCAGGGCGTTCCGATTGCGATTCCCTGAGGCAGGGATGCTGTAGTTTCACGCTCTTATGAATGTCCTTTGAAAACATATTCACTCCCTGGTCATGACCTCCCACCCAGCCCTGTGGCCCTTGGCTTGGTGTCCCCACTTTCACCTTGCCGGCAGCTCTTGGCATCTTTGTGTTCCCTCTGCCCATGGTCTTCCAAAGTATCTTTCTCTTTCTTCCTTCATTTTTGCACGGCCCTCGTCCTGACCCCTGCCTTCGCTGGCTGTAGCTGTGCCTTGCACGTCCCTCTCACCCAGGGGTGCAGGTCCCTCTTCTCCAGAGAAAACACACCACAGAGACAGAAGCCAAGTGCTCTGCCTCCAGGGTGTCCCTGCCTTTCCCTCCCTGGATGGGAACGGGGTTGAGAGCAGCCCTATGTGGGGTCAGTGCCCTCCTCAGGTTGAGCCAGGCTATAGGGAGGGCAGTGCCGTCCTGGGAACCACTTCTTTGTTGCTGCTGTCGTGGCTGTTTGTCATCTGGAGCTGGCTGAGCTCTGCTCTGGAGCATCCTCCCCACTCTGCCGGGCCTTTCCCGTTAGGCCTCCCCAGTGGCAGCCACCTGTCCACCTCAGGGACGCACCCTGGATCACCCTTGTATGCGAGTGGTGGGGAGGGGGCCCCTGGCTGAGCGGCCAGGCACAGCTCTGGCTCTGCTCCCCCGGGCAGCCTGCAGCCTTGCGACCTGGGGGAGGACTTCTCCGAGCAGCCGAGGCTGATGTGCGCAGCCTGTGGTCTCTGCAGGGGAAGCGGGAGAGGGAGCTGCCCAGGCCCTCACCTGAGACCCTGTGTCCCTTGGTGTCTTAGCCCTGGATGTGTAGCCCTGGAGCTGGGACCAGGCCTTGGGGACACGATCGTGGGTGAGGATGTTGTGGTGACGGTGGCCCTGTACAAGAGGGACCCTTTGTCTCCAGATGGTGGTCCTTATGGCTTTCTGGCCCAGTTTTAGGAGAGGAGGGGGTCAGTAGCAGTGTGTGTGTGTGTGTGCTCCTGGTCCTGCCCCCACTGGCCAGGGCCCAACTTTGGGACCAAGGGACTCTTGGGGGCCAGAGCTCTGGAAGGTGAGCAGACTCTTATGGGGGGGTTCTTTGGGGCTGGCACTGCATCTGGCTGCTTGCCCCGGTCTCAAGATGGTTCTCTAAGGACCCATGGTATGGACAGGGCATGGGGTGCTGCAGGGTGTGGGGTACAGCGGGGTGTGGGGTGCGGTAGAGTGTGGTGTACAGCAGGGTGCAGTGGGGAGTGGGGCCTGGGGTGCAGCAGGGCACAGGGTGCAGTGGGGGGCGACAGGCTGGCTGACACGGCCCTTGGGGCAGGTTTTCCAGCAGGTTGATTTCAACAGGAGGCCGGGGCGCATGAGCTCCAAGCCCATCAACTTCGCCGTGATCCTGAAGCTGTCCAAGGTTAACCTGCAGGAGAAGGCGTACCGGGTAAGGCCAGTGGCCAAGCGTCGTGGGGAGGGACCCAGGGGAATGTCCTGAATGGGGTCACGGCAGAGTCAGAGGGCACTGAGCAGGGTGACTGTGGAGGCAGACAGTGTGGACAGGAGGGGGCTCACCGCTCTCCAGAGTGTAAGCGTGGACTGGGTCTCCCTAGGTGGAGGGAACAGGCCCTCTTTGGCCCCAGCCCCAGTGAGCCTGCATGCGGCTTCCAGGGAGGCTGTGGGGTCATATTCTCCTGGTCCCCACCCTGGAGAGTGGGCTGACAAGTCAGAGAGGTATCTGAACTCCCCTTTCCCCTGTCCTGTGCCCTGACGTTCCCCCCTTGCTGCCTCAGGACGGCCTGGTGGAGCAGCTGTACGACCTCACCCTGGAGTACCTGCACAGCCAGGCCCACAGCATTGCGTTCCCTGAGCTGGTGCTCCCCGCCGTCCTGCAGGTGTGTGCACACTGCCTGGCTCCCCCTCCCTGCCCAGATCTCTTGACGGCGTGCTCTATGGTAGACTAGACTGTCTTCCGATGGGGTCAGCTCCCCATTTACACAGGCCAGAGGGAAGCGTCCTTGTCACAGCCACACAGGGCCGGCAGCAGAGCCTGGCCAGCATAGGGCCTCTGCGCTGCCTCCGCCTGGGAGCTGGATCCCCAGGCTCAAGGTATGGGGGGTATGCACATGGGATGGTGGAGCCTGAGGTGTGGGGCTGGCCTGGCAACTCAAAAAAGGACCCCAGGACCTCCTTGCCGCCCCCATGCCTGCCGCAGCCCAGGGAGCAGACTGGCCATGAAGTCTTCCCTGGGGGGAGTTGGGACTGAGTGGGCTGGACCTGGGCCCCCAGCCCTGGGTCGTGCTGGTCTCCTGACTGCGTGCTTCCCCCCATGGTCCCGGGTGTGGGTGGGAAGTGGAGCAGGCTCCCAGCGGCAGAGAGCCCTGGCCGCCCTCCCACAGGCTGCACCTCACCTTTCCTTCAGGCGATATAAGGGGTGGCGTGGGGGTCCTCCCTCTCAGGAGCTCCTTCTGGGTCCCCATTTGCTTTCGGCCTAGATGTTGCTCATCTCAGGGATGCCTGTGCTTCTCATGGGAGGGGCTGCGGGGGTGGGCATTATGTCCGTCTGGCCCTAGTGGGCGGATCCTCCCCCCCCAGTCAGGCCTGCCTGGTGAGTGGGGGGTTGCTGACACCCGAACTGCACCTGGCTCAGAGCCCCATCCAGACGCATGTGCACGCGTGTTCGAGGCTGTTTCTGGGGTTGAAGTCCCAGGGATCATGGTCTGAGACAGGTATCAGCAAATTTTTTTGGTAAAGAGCCAAATGGTAAATATTTTAGGCTTTGCAGGCATGTGGTTTCTCACAGCTGGTCTACTCTCCCATTGAAATACAAAAAAACTCCACAGAAATACATAAACGAGTGAGTGTAGCTGTGTGTCAATACAGCTTTATTTACAGAGACAGACACCTGGCGGGGTTTAGCCTGGAGGGTAGATCCGTGCTGTCCCACAGCCGCTGCCCCTGTTCCTCCACCTGGCCCATGGGATGAGCCCTCCCCAAGTGTGCACCGTGTCAGTTCTCCAAGGGCTGGGCCATAGAGGTCACGCAGTCCGCCCCCCGATAGACACGCACACACACACAGGCATGTGCACTCGGGTTCTGAGCATGTGGACTCATGACCCCCCGCCTCCCTGTGGTCACGTGGTTTTCATAGGTCCTGGGCTGTTCATGGGGTGCAGAGCAGCCCTGTACCTGGAGCTAGGCCGACCCCCTCTTCCTTCTGCAGCTGAAATCCTTTCTCCGGGAGTGCAAGGTGGCCAACTATTGCCGGCAGGTGCGCCAGCTGCTCGAGAAGGTGCAGGAGAACACCGAGTTCATCCACAGCCGCCGCCAGAGGGTCTCCTTTGGCGTGTCCGACCAGCACGCAGCGGTCAGTTGGGAGCTGGCTTCTGGGCCCTGGGGGGCAGCACCGCCTGAGGGCACCTGTCAGTGTGTGTCTGGGGTTTGGGGGTTTGTGCAGGGTGGGATGTGACCCTGAACTTTCCTACAGGATGCCTGGGAGAAGCAGACCCGTGAGGAGGGAACTCCGCTCACCAAGTACTACAGCCAGTGGCGGAAGCTGAGGGACCGAGAGATCCAGCTGGAGATCAGCGGCAAAGAGCGGGTAAGTGGAGGCCATGGACACAATCGGCTGGACCTAACATCCTGGCTGTGCCTTCAAGACTGGGGTAGGGAAGAGGGCTGTTGGGGAGGGAACAGTCAGGCATGATGGCAGCAGGAGTGGTTAGGGCTGTCCCCAGCTGCAGCCTGTCCTGGTGCTGCGGCTGCTCTGAGAGGCAGATGTCGTGCAGAAGTGGGTAGAGTTGGGGGCTTCTCCCATGACCCCCAGGAGCAGAGGTCCCAGGGCTGTGCTGGGGTGGAGAGTCTCCTCCCCGCCATCGGGCCTGATGGGCTGGGGGCTTTAGGGGAACGAGTGGCTGGACTGACCTTGTCGCCCAGGCCAGCCTGTGGACAGGAGGGCCAGCAGGGAGGGGCAGGAAATGTGGGCCTGGCCAGTGGGTTCGGGATAGTGTGATGTGAGGGGATAGCTTCATGCCAAGTAGCACGCTTGTGACTGTCTCCATCCCTGTCCTGGTGTCTTTCTGGGTCAGCTGTGTGTCCTGGAAGTGACGGCTGAAGATTTGGGAACAAAAAGATGGAGGCCTGCAGCTGGGCCTCCAGCCAGTGGTTGTGGCTTTGATGGCACTTAGTGGCTGGTGTGTGGCTAGCAGGGCGGCTGTCCAGGAATCCCACCCAGTGGTGCTGACCAGGAGTTGGCTAGAGAAAGCGGCCCAGCAGGGTCATTGTGTGGGGGACGGTGGGGAGGCGAGGCCTGAAAGGGGCGTTGAAGGGAGAGGAGAATGGGACACTGGGTCTTCGTGAAGGTGAGTGAGGGAGAGACATGGCTGTGGTCAGGCCATGGCTGTGGGGTGGGCCTTCAGGTGGAGGGTGGGCTCTCAGGGCTACCTGCCCACCTTCACCTGCTGCTCTGGTTCTGGGCCCTTCCAGTTGGAAGACTTGAACTTCCCAGAGATAAAGCGGCGGAAGGTGGGAGACAAGGATGAGGACAGAGCAGAATTCAGGGACCTCTTTGACCTGGACAGTGAGGACGACGACAACGCCACAGACTTCTCAAAGAGAGGTGGGGGCCTGTGGGCCTCAGCTCGCGCTCCTTGGGGGTGGGGCCGGTGGGCCCCTCATGGAACCAGAGGAGGGGCGCCAGCTCCTACCTCAGCTCCCCTGTCTGCTGGGCCCCTGTCACCGGCCCCTTCTGCCACTTTCCTTGCTTTTAGGTGGGGGGGCCTCCTGGAATGGGAGCCTTGTCTCCTCCCCCACTTCTTTTGGGGCAGTTCTGAGTCCTCTTCCTTTGCACAGAGGCTGCCTGAGGGGTGGGTGGGTGCAGGGTTGTGAGCCTGGCCCACCCTCCTGCCGTAGGCTGCCCCACTGTGCATTTGCTGGTGGGCCCACTCCCATGGGCTCTTCTTGGTCCCCAGGGACGCCTGGGTCCCCGAGAACTTGGCAGAGGGTAGAGGAGGAGGAGGAGGGCAGCAGCAGTAGCGGTCCAGAGGAAGAAGTCGGTGACTCAGAGGGTGAGTGGTTCCTGGAGGCATGGGTGCTCTGAGCCCACATGTCCCAGAGCCTAAGGCTGTCATGGGCTCTGGTCTCTGGGGTCGGGGGCAGGGCCGTCGGGAGGATGGCTCTGCGCCAGGCCCCTGCCCCTCCCTCGGGATGCCAGGCCAGCTGCTCCATTCCAGCTGGCTCTGGCAGGCAGCAGCAGCGGCACCAATAAATTAATTAGTGCTGTGATTAATTAGTGATGAGTAACCTCCAAGGCTGGCTTCTTCCTGATAAAGCAGAATTTATGTAGCCTGGTCTCTCCCTGCAGATGGAGGCCCAGACGGAGAGGCGGGGCTGGACCCCAGGGAGCTGTGGCGACTGGCCCAGGGGCCAGAGGACGAGCTGCAGGATCTACAGCTCTCCGAGGAGGACTGAGGGCTGCCGCCTGGGGGCTGCTGTGGTGTCCCCACCTTGCAGGCATTTGCCATGCAGCTTCCTGGCTGGCTCTGAGCCCAGTGGCCCTGAGGTCACTGACCATGTGGGGGGGAAGGGCAGTCAATGGTGGACGGGGCTTTATTCTTACAACATAAAAGACCAGAAGATACCAAGCCCTGTGCAATCTCTGGAGTGGCAGCTGTGGGGTTGGACACCAGCGCCGTGGAGTTTGCCTACACTGCACCCCACAGTGGTGGCTGAGATACTGTTGTCAACCCCATGAGGGAAGCTGGTGATCTCCTGCCTGATGTCAGGATGCGGAAAACTTCGCGGAGCAGTCCTGGTCTCAGCAGGAGCCAGCGGGCCCGGCCCAGCCCACATGGCGTGACGTGCCTCTGCTGCCTCTTTTGTCTTTGGTCTGTCTGCAGCTGCCCAGGTTCGGGTCCCCAGGCCGTTTGCACTGCACTCTACAGTCACCCCCAGAAAGTCTTTGGAAACTTGTTCCTTTCCTCTTAAGGCTCAAGTTTTCCTTGTAAAAATTCTTTGTGTTTTTGCATCCAAAACCAAAAAGAAAATAAGCTGTGGAGGGAGGGGCCTTTGCATCTGGAGTGCCTGGCACTGAAGAGCCAGGGGATCTGAGTATCCACCCCTCACTCTGCTCAGCACAGAGGCTGGGAGGGGTCTGTAGGCTCTGGGAGCAGAGCCATGGTTCCGTTCTCTTGCTTGGGGGAGGCTCGGCCCGCAGGGGAATGCCCGCCCCCATAAGGAGAGGGGACCATTGCTGGGGACAGGGTCTGCTCCCCTGGGGTGAGCTCCTGCTCGGGGGCCCGCAGTGTGGGTGGCTGCAGCGGCAAAGCCACTGGGAAGCTGGCCATGTAGAAGACGCGGCCCAGGCGCTTAGCCACCTGTGGACAGACAAGACTGGGTGGGGGCCTGCCAGGCTGCAGGAGCCTTGGTGCTGCCCCCTCCATTGTCTGGAGACCACCCCCAGCTAGTGCTCACCTGGGCCCGGATCTTGAGAGCAGGCCCTAGCTTCAGCCCCATGGTGGTCAGGAGATGCTCCTCGGTCAGCAGGGGCAAGGTCTCCCCGTCGATCCCCTGTTCTCTAAAGACCTGGATGGGGGGGCGATATGGGCCTGAGTGCCAGGAACAGTGCCTGCCCACCCTGCTGGATCCCTCCAGTCCAGCAAAGGCTGGGTGTCCAGGGCTGACTCAAGGCTTTGCAGAGAACTGAGCCAAGAGGGGCTGTTGGTACAGCTTACAGGGAAAACTGAAATGAAAGAAAAATCTCTGTTGTGCTGAGCACATCCAGTGTTGAACGCAGAAGCACTGGAGTGCCCGAGGTGGGGAAGTATGCACTAGTGTACCCCCTCCCTACACTGTTTTCGAGGAGAGAAATCTGGGGTGGGGAGAGGCCCTGGAGAATGGGGGCTGAGAAGTGTCCTCACCGGTGCGTATTCTCCACAGCCAGACAGGCCCCCCACAAAGCTGCAGACATCCTCCACTGTCCACTTGCTGACATCCTCCAGGGCTGCGGCCTCCTCCCCATCCATGAGGAGGCCCCCCACGGTGCCTGGAGAGGGCAGGGGGTATTACTAGGACTCTGGCCAGCTCTTTGCTACGCTCCCCCTGTCTGCTGACCTTTGCTTGCCCTAATTGTTCAGAGATGTTGGATTGATGACAAAGGGGTTGTTCTTCCCATGGGTGCCCTCCCTGAGACCTGGGGTGGGGGATGGGGCCTGGGTCTCCTTTCATGCCATGGAGGAATCTGAAGCATGGAAGGGGGTGCTCACCTGTGTGGAGGTAGGGGCTGATGGCATAGGGTAAGCCCAGGGGCAGTGGAGGGGGCAGCATGGACCCTGAGAGAAGCCCCTTGCCCTCGGCGCTGGCCCCTCCAGTTGGGGCTTGGCCTGGGGTGGGCCCCCGGCCCCCAGCAGCCACCATCTCAGGGTCTTCTCCGTCTGAGTCCTTGGGGGGCTCATCTTCAGAGCCATCTGGTGCCCAAAGCCCAGTCCCAGTGGTCTCCTTGGATTCACTGGGCCGGGCTGAGGCAAGGCTGGGGCCCCCCTTTCGAGGCGCCCGGCGGGCCAGCTCCCGAGGTGGGGTAGGGGGGCTGGGGCCTGGGGGTCCCTGGGGGGGAAGAGTCAGCAGCGGCGCAGAGCTGTGTCTCAGCACCAGCATGGCCCCGCGCCGCTGCAGCTCCTCGGTGCCCTCGGGTGGGCGCAGTGAGGCTTCGGGCGCCAGCAGCTGCGGCCGGTGAGCACTCTCCAGCTCCTTCTGACGCAGCAGCTCTGCCGACATCTCCAGCCTGGCCGGGGGAGAGCAGGCCACAGAGTCAACCAGCTGACAGTGCCACCTCTGCCCCACTGTCCCCACAGCACCTACCGGGCCAGGTTCTGCTTGCGCAGGAGCTCCTGCTGCCGAGCGAGCATTTCCGCCTGGGCAGGGGGCAGGAAGCCGTAACCTGGTGGGAAGGGGACAGACCACGAGGCCAGGTGGCCGAGTGGTCCAGGGCTGCCTAAGCCCACCCTGGCTTCTCCTTGGCTTCAATAGGGACAGGATGGGTCCCCCGGGAGCTCTTGTGGATGCAGGGTCGGTCACTGGCAAACCCGGATGGCCCCCCACGAATGGCCCCCCAGGACACTAAGGGCTTGGGCACTCGCCTGCTCCTCACCTGGGGTCTGGCATAGAGCCGAGGGCACCCCCAAAAAGGGGGGCCTGAGATGGGGGCCCAAGGCGATGTGCGGGGCATTCTGGGGTGACAGCAGGGGAGGCGGCTGCGACAGCTCCCTGCGGGCGGACGGCAGCGCGGTGAGCGGCGGCCCTGTTCCCCTAACGCCCCGCCCCCACCCCGCCGCCGCTAATTGCTGCCCCGCGGGCGGTCGATGCGCCGCTGTCACGGCTCCGGGTCGCCCCCCTTCTCTCCCCGCCCCACCCCGGCGGCGCCAATTAATCTCGGCGGAGGCGCTGACCCGGCGGGCGGCGGAGACGACAGCGGTAATTACCGC